GCTGCCGTCCTGGGAAAGGGAAAAATCCAAACCACGCAGCAGTGCCCCATGGTGATCTCTGCCCTGCCAGCAAACTGGCTCGGTGACCTGCTGGGAAAAACCAGCACGGATTTATCGGTGAGCATGGAGAAGGCACTCACAGTGACACAGGAAAGGCAGACGCGTTCCCACCGCGCTCCCTGCGACTGCAGCTGATGGAAAGTGTTGGAGAGCAAACCCACCAGCAGCCTCACAAACACAAATGCCTGCAGCCCCCATCCCCCTGTGCCCCCGTCCCACCATGGAGACAAACGTGTTTCCACAGGGGAACCACAAGCCAGCCGTGTGTTGTCACTCCACGGCAGCACTGGGTCAGGACTGTGAGGTAAGACAGAGTAGGGAAGAGCATGATGAACCCAGAGATGGGGTCAAACAGCAGTTTGGAGCACACAGGTGTCCAGTGTTTTGGGTCTCTGCCCCACTGCAGGCTCTCAACAGCCCCAAGCAAGGATCACTCTTTGCTCCAGGGAACACACGCTGGGATCCCCTGAGCTCTCCATACAATCACCAGCATCTCATTTCTTTTGCAAAGCCTGTCTGGAAAGTCAATGTTTTATGAACCAGCATCTGCAGGCACCAGCACTCCCCAACCCTTCCCATAAAATGGGGACAGGAGCTCAAAGCACCCTGTGCAGTGCTGGAGGGACAGGTACTCCCAGAGCACCCTCCAGGTTGGGCTTCCAGGGGGTGTCTGGGGAATCTGGGATGGGGAGAGCCCCCAGCTCAGCTGCCCAGGAGGCAGGCACTGATGTGCAGGCTGGGATGGGGGGGAGGGAGGGAGCCTTGGTGGGAGACGCAGAAGGAGCAGCGAGCGCCTTTGGGGAGGCTGAGCTGCCAGGCCACGTCAGTCACCAGCCCTCACTGCCCAGCCTGGCCACAGAGTCTGTCCCGGGGTGTGGGGAGGGGGTCAGGGAAGGACACAGAGCTTCGCCCCTGGGCCAGGCTGGAGGCACACACGGCACAGCTCCAGCTGCACAGCCCCGTGACTCAGCGGGCGAGTACCCGATGGAACTCACCCCACCCTCCCAAGGCCAAACAGCACCCAGGCACCCTCTGTGCCCAGCATCTCCTCGAGGGAGCTGCTGAAACACAGCCCATACCATGGGGTCCCTGCACAACACACCATCCCTGCACCCCTGCTACTGAGGGACCAGGCAAAGCAAGGAGGGGCCCCTTCAATGCAACAAACACACAGTGGAGCCGTGATCCTGTGGAGTTCAGGGTCACCCAGAACCCATCAGATGGAAAACTGGCCTTGGGGCACAGGCAGCCTGACCAGGTGTCCAGGAGCAGGCAGGAACCCTGGGATGCACGGGCAGGGCACGAGGATTGCCCCATGGCCGAACACAGCCGGGTGCAGCACACCCAGGCTATGGGAATGCTTCCCGCTTCACCCGCTGGCCCCGTGAATCACAGCACCCATGGATTTGGAAATGATCACACACCCTCACAGCCAACTGCACCCCCACCACATCCCAGGAGCCCCTCAGCCAAAATCCCCCTGCCCAGGGAACGTGGCCATGGATGGGATACGCTGCCCTTCTGCTACTTGTGCCCTTGGAAAGGGAACAAACCCCTGCCGTGCTGTGACTGCCCTGTGGTGCTGTGAAATCCCTGCAGTGTTGTGACATTCCTGCCTCCCCAGCGAGGCCTCTGCTGACCCACATTTGGCCACTGAAATCCCACGTGGTGACCCAAGCTCGGGTTTTGTTCTCTCCCATTAAGGAGCCGCAGCTCAGGGATCTCTGCTCCGCGCTGTCACCTCACATTGAGCGTCAGGCGGCCGATGGCTCCGCGCCTGGATTTGTCCCCAGGAGATCACTCCCGCCTCCCCTGGGTCCCTGCCGCCATCAGGGAGGCCAGGAGGGGAAGGCAGCGCCCCAAAATCATGCCACAGCCCCCCTGAAGGCCTCCAAGGTGCCCTTCAGGTGGGCTGCGGGTGCTGCCAGGACACTCAGCGCCTGTCACGCTGTGGTTTGACCGCCCTGGATGGAGTTGTTGCTCCCAAAAACCAGGAGGTCCCAGTCCCTGGGCTTCTTGCCTCACATAGGGACCTTTTTTTACATCACACCCGTGCAGGCGGTGGAAGGCGGGGAAGAGTAAACTCTGGCGTAGCCATGGAAACTGGAGAGGATGGATGGATGGATGGATGGGTGGCGGCGGATCCAGGCACCCCCACGGCCGTGCAGGAGGCAGCCACCTGCTCCCCACTCAGCCTGCGTGACCCTGAGCACACCTTGATACAGAGCAGGAGAACACCGGTGATTAAGGTAATGGCCCTAACGACCAGTTAATGGACTGTGGTCGGGCACTCCCGGGACCCACCGGGCGCTCACCCCAGCACGGTGCAGATCTGCCAGGCTGGGCTGGGTAAGGTGGGTTTCACAGATTCACGGAATATCCCGAGCTGGAAGAGACCCACAAGGATCAGAGTCAAGTCCTGACCCTTCTGACACCATCACCCCCAAAGGCACTATGGGGTGCCATCAAGGGGGGCTGGTCCCGCTTCAAGCATCTTGTCCCCACACAGTCTTTGAAACTTTTCCAATAGATGCACAGTTCCTATGGGAAGGGGGAAAACCTGCCCACGACACCATGTGTGCCTTACAGGAGAGCTGCTGCTGCCCTACCTCACCTGGGCTGTACCTGGTGGGAGCACAGGCTGCCTTCCCAGGGCTGGGGGTCCCGCAGAGGCCCTGCTGTCCCCCCATACCAGGGCAGAGAGTGAGCAAGTACCTGAGATAGCACCCACTGCCCAGCCCCTCCCCTGTGCTCAGGAGCAAACCCTCACTATCCCACCTGCCCCTTGTACATCCATCCTGGCCAACACTGTTGGCAGGAGGGATGGGGGCCACCAGCAGCCCCCAACCACCACTGAGTGCCCCCAGCTCCCAGGAGTGAACCCTTGCCCAGGGTTCAGTGTGGGGAGGAGCTGACATTCCCTTTTAGCTTTGTTCCCTGCTGTCTTTGCTGTGTCCCTGGGTCAAAGGCCTCCCAAGTTTCCCTCTTCACATCTTCTATCCCACACTACAAACACGTAAAACTCCCGGCAGGGTGAAGGTTAAAAGCACAAATTACACCAGCATTGAAAACACCTGTGCAGTTGTGTGAGTAGTTAAAAACCACCCAGGACAAGGAACTGGAGCTGTGCAAGAGCCTATTTCTCATTTAACGGTGGTGAGGGGGAATGAGGGGTTTAGATACTTGGGGAGGGAACCCCAGAGGCTGCCACCCCAAAATCCATCCTTATTGTTCCCTGTGCTGCCTGTGGCCAACACCACCCCAGGTTTGCACTGCCAGGGCTCCACTCTCCAGCTAAGGGCACAGTGCCTCGACCTCAGCTCTGGGGGGACAACCCAGGGGGGCTCAGCTGTCTCTCAGCTTCTCGTAGACTTGTGATCACCCGGGGATTCTTCTCTGCCCCCGAGATGGTGCAGCTCCAAGGAAGGCAGCAGAGGAAGAGCAGAGCTGATGCAACACAGAGGCAAAGCAAACCTTGGAGCTCAGAGAGCCAAAACCCTCACATTTTCATTTTTTGGCCTTTTGAGGTTTTCTTAATTTGTCTATTTTTGTTCCTCGCCCACCTCCGCGCTGAGTGTGACGCGAGCCCTCGCTGGAGAGGCAGGGTTTTAAGGGAGAGCGCTGGCTGTTATAAAGCAGCGAAGCTCTTGGAAAAACAGCCTCTGGAGCAATAAACAGATTTGGAGCTGAGGGCTGTGAGGGACGGCTCCATCTGGGCTGCTGAGTCATGAAACCTGCCCGAGCGAGATACCAGCCGAGGGCTCGGGCTGGGGGAAGCTTCCTATTAGGGATTTTGGCTATTTCGGTCTGAGCGTGCGACAGCAAAACCGGAGAGCGGACAAAAGCGGGCTGGGGTGGCCACGCTTCGCTCCAGCAGCTGCGGGGTTACGGTGGAGGGTGCCCTCCTTCTCCTCCTCCTCCTCCTCCTCCTCCTCTCCCAGTGCCAGCCTTGTCCCATCCCTGCCATGGGGGTGAGGTGGTGGGAGCAGACCCTTCACCTTCACCCCCCAGTTTCCAGCCATACTCTCCCCTTTGCCATGAGCATTCCCCAGCCCCCGGCATCCATCCAGAACGATCCCAGCCTATGGCATCCCTCTCCAAGGACCTGAGCCCACCCTGACATGGGCAAGGGTCCAGCCTGGCTCCCAGCACGGTGCCAGGAGGAGCCCTGGGAGTGAGGGTCCCCCGGGCCACCCACCATTCCTTTACCCTGCTCCCAGCGTCGGGAGGAGCAGTGGCTGTGGCTTGGGATGTTCCTGTCACAAAAAACAGGCTTCTCTCTGTCCTAGGGCTGACCCCCTCCCCACCGGGCACCCACTGAGCCAAGGGATTTGTCCCCACACGCTGGCAGGGTTCCCATGGGGACATGACATGTCCCGTCCCTAACAGGGGATGTGTTGGGCCCTGCCACATCCCCACACACTGCCGTGTCCTCAGTGGGACCCTGCCACCTCCCCGTGTCCACAGGGATTCTCTCATGGCCCCAGAGGGGCCCCACCATGTCCCTTCATTGACTTTGACACATCCTATCCCCACAGGACTCCTGTTATGTCCCCACAGGGACCCCTGCTTGTCCACAGGGACTCTATCGTGTCTACAAAGTCTTATTCCCACAGGGACCCCCGCCACATCCCCATTGGAAACCACACTTGTCCCCATCCCCACAGGGACCCCGTTATGCCCCCACTGGAACCCTCACTTGTCTCCACCCAACAGGGCCCCCCCACTTGTCCCCACACACGGTCCCATCCCTGCAGGGATCCCCAACTGTCCCCACACACAGTCGTATCCCCGCAGGGCCCCCCCTTCCCCACACACAGCCCCTTCCCCACTGGGGCCCCGGCGGCGGCGGCGCCTTTAAGCGGGGCCGGTCTCCCGGAGCCCCCGCCCGGGGGCCGGGCCGGGCCGCCCCCCGTAGCCTGGTAACGGCGGCTCGGCGGGCGGGGGCGGCCCCGGCACCGCGGTCAGGTGGCACCGCCGAGACGGAGCCGGCCGAGCACGATAAAAGTCCCGGCCCGCCGCCGCCGCCACGGCCGCGAGGGAGCGCGGAGCCGCCGCCCGGAGCCATGGTAGGGACGGGGCGGGGAGGGGGGAGCCGGGACACGGGGAGGGGGCTCGGGCTGGCCCCGCGTGGCCGGGCTGCGGGGCCCCGCCGTTCCCCGCCGCGTTTCCAGCGCCCCGCGCTGCCCCCAGCCCGCCCCGGCCGCTCGCGGTGCCCTGCGGGGGGATCGCCGGAGCCCCCCGGAGCCCCCCGGCTCTGCCCGCACGGGCGGGACGGGGCCGAGGGGATCCCGCCCCCCGCGTCCCCTCCGGAGCGGGCGGTGCGGGGGCTGTGCCCGCTCAGCGCCCCGCGGATGCGGCCCCGCTGCGCTCCCGGCCGGGGCCGCGCTGGGACGGGGCAGAGGCGGCTCTGCCGGGGGTGCCCGAAGGAGCGGGGCGCGGCAAGAACCCGGTGGCCGGTGCTCAAACCCCGGGTAAGCCCGGCGAGGGAGCGGGGTGTCACCTCGGAGCTGCACCAGAGCAGCCACGGGCAGAGCTCGGGTGGTTCCTCGACGTGGAACCAGCCCCAGCCCCACCGCGGGCTCTGCCGGAGCGGGGTACCTGTCCCTGGCTCCTGCCCTGGGCGCTTCCCTCTCAGCACCCATCCTTGGATCCTACCCTGGGCACCTCCAGGTTGGCACCCATCCCTGGATCCTGCCCTGGGCACTTCCCTCTCAGCACCTATCCTTGGATCCTGCCTTTGGCACCCCCAGCTCTGCACCCATCCTTGGATCCTGCCCTGGGCTCTTCCCTCTCAGCACCCATCCCTGGTTCCTGCTCTTGGCACTCCCCTCTTAGGACCCTTCCCTGGCTCCTGCCCTGGGCACCCCTGGCTCTCAGGGCACGCTGGTGCCACCAAACCCCGGCTCGTGCCTGCGGCTGCCCGGCCTCTCATCCAGACGGGTTGTGTGCGTGGCCCTTGACTCAGCTCCGGAGCAGCTGCTTTGAGCAACACCAGTAATCAATGAGTGGCATTTGGCTGTAGGGAGATGGGGCAGGATTATAACCTGTTCGACTGGGCAGCAAATGAGCCTTTTATTCTGGAGGTTTGAGTGTTGGCAGATGCCCTAATATCATGTTGCAAGTTCGGTTTATCCCTAATGCCCCTGCCACAGGAATGGTGGAGGATTAGCACTGACAAAACAGTTTTCCCTGATGATACACCAGATCAGCCGTCCCTGCTCTGGCAGGGAGTGGATTCCTCCCCCAGGCCTCGCTGTAAACCTTGGTGTGTGCTTCGTTCCGGTGGTTGGGATGAGCTCTGTGGCACTCTGGTTCCCAAGGAATGAGAAAGAAGGGTCCCTAATTCTGGGGGCACGTGCTGCTCCTCACTGGCAGAGATCTGCTGCCACGACTTGGCTGATGTGACCCTGCTGAACGTCAGGGGAGCAATAATGCAGCGGGTTTTAATTGATTTATGCCCGGAAGGTGTGAACGTGCAGCTCTGCCTGTCCTTCCTGCCCCTGAGGGCTCGCCTGGGTCCTGGGCACGGGCATGGACATTCCAGTTTCCTCCAGGAACAAAGGTGAACTCCCAGGGATTTGTTCTGAGCCCTTGCTGTGCTGCAGGGTCTGCCCTGGGCTCTGGCACTGCTTCTGTGTATTGGTCAGGGCAAGATGGAAATTTGCATGGCTTAATTCAATACCTGATCCCAGCTGGAATCTTGGAGCTGGAAAGGCAGAGAGCTCATGCTGCTCTAGTGCTAGAAATGCACAGGGTGTGGGGGAAACCTTCTGTCTGAGCCAGACGTCATGGGAGGGAGGAAAGGGATGCAGAGCCTGCTCAAGAAAGTCTCAGACCTCTACTCTGAGAGTCGGTACCAGCTTTGTCCCAGGGAAGCAGCCACCTGCCCATCTGGGCACGCAAAAAGAGGTTGGGAGTGAGGAGAAGGGAGAAGGCACCTGGGCATGGCAGTGGGTACCAGGAGCAGCTTCTCTCCCACTCACCACACACTGGCCCCACCAGAGCTGTTTACACAAGGCTGTTCACCAGAGAAGCCTTCCAGGCTTCCTGCTACCACCTTCCTTCCAGGGTGGCTTTCCCTAGAAGGTGGGGTAATGCCTCAAACCAGGCACGGGAGCTTCTCCCAGCCTCTCCTCTCCAGGCACACAACCCTCACCACACCACACCCCCCCCCATTTATCACTTCCAGAAAGACACTCTGAGTGACCATAACACAAAGGGAGGTGTGAGCATGTAGCAGAGAGGGCTCTGGCGTTTGGAAACAGCTGAGGAATCTCTGAACAGTGGCCCCAGCTCCCTGCATGCTTGGGAATAAAGCCTGAGAATGGGAGGCAGAGACATTGCCCACACTTCCTGGGGCACCTGTAGTGCAGGCAGCTTGTGGGCTCAGCTCTGTGGCTACTCCCTGCTTTAAAAATAATATAAAATAGTAATAATCAGGCAAGTTTGAGTTTCCCAGCAGGAAGGAGCAACAGGTGCTGCCGTGCTCACCACAGCAGGGTGGGTTGGGATGTCTGGACTGATGGGACTTTAATTGTCCCTGTTTCCACCATCCCACCCCACAGTGGGGGGTGGCTGCAGGTCCTTCCCTTTGGAGGAGGCCGAGCAGCAGCTCAGGGAGGCAGGAGTCCTTCATGGAGGAAATGTGGATTTGCATGGTGTCCCTAAAAAATGCCATTACCCCAAGCCTGGAGCAACTGGAATGACCTCCTGGGAGGTGAGGGGTGCTGACCCTGTGCTGCTTGCATGGGAAGCAGTTGCTGCCTCATGTAAACTTGATTTTTCCCCCCAGTTGATTAAAATTGGCCTCTCCTCCTGTTACCCCACACAACCCCATCAGTGTGCTCAGAGGTGACCTCATTCCTCAGAGCTGCTGTGGGCACATCCTGCTGTTCTCCCTTCAGCTGCACTGCCCTGTGCCCAGCTCCTGCCTGGCCTTGGGAGCATGGGGAAAGCGTGGGCAGCCTCTGCCCAGCAGGGATTCCTCCGGTGAGGGTTATGTCACCATCAGGTTTATCAGGGTGCCAGGCTTTGGGACCCCCATGAGAAGTTGGGCTGTTCAGAGTGTGCAGCAGTTGGCACTGCCCCTGAAAAAGGCCCGGGTGAGCACCAGCATGGAAGCACCGGACTGCTTCCAGGACACGTTGCAGTGAATTTGCAGCTGCCTTCAATTTGATGGGGTTTGGGGTGGGCTGGGGCAGAGCCCGGCCACAGCAGCAGCAGGCACAGCCCTGGGCCCGGCAGGGTCACACACGAGCAAACACGCCAGGTCCCTGTGTTTTGTTCGGCTAACAGGGAAGAGATTGTGTCCCTCCTGTCAGCTGTGACTGCGCAGGGCACGGCTCCGGAAAAAACAAGGCTCCATCTTGCAGCACCCCGGGAGCCGGAGCCAGGCGTGGGTCTGCTCCCTGAGTGTGCCCCTCTCCTCCCCATCCACATCCCCCCGGGTCACACTTGGACACAGGGAGCAGGGGATGGAGCAGGGGAGCTTTCCCAAACTCCGCATGCAATCCAGATGCCATCAGCTGGCACTGAGATGATCTGTGGTGCTTCACAGCAGACGATCTCTCCACTTGGGGCTGGAAAACAGCCTTGGGTGTTCAGCCGAGTATGGAGCTGATGCTGCCCACAACTGTTGGGTCCTGTTTGTGCCTCCTCAAGGCTTAATTCTGGTTTTTAAAGTGTTTGGTTCACCCACCCAGAATTTTTAAGCAAGATGCAGGTGGCCACACTCCTGGTCTGTCCTGGGCGAGCCCTGTGCCCCTGCTGTGCTCTCCAAGGGACTGGCACGCAGAGCAGGGTGAGCAGGAGCCCATGGCTCTGAAAGAGCAAACGTGGCTTTAAAAAGGAGGATGGTTTGTTTTTCTTGCATCAAATCCTCTCGCTGCTTGCCGAGGGAGGCTTGTCCTCAGAGCAGAGCAAGGATTTTATAAATACCAGCTTGCTCCAGGTTGTGCCCACTCCCCCTCTCGCTCCGTCCCTGCAGCCGGGAGCTCTCCCTGTGGCCAGAGGTTTGGCTGGCAGCTGGCAGGATCCAGCTGCCGAGTGGAGAGGAAGCAGCCCTGCCTGTTCCCACTCCAGAGCAGCACTGAGGGGGTGGCTGTGTGGCAGGATCACAGCGTGCCCGTGGGCAGATCCGCCGCCTCGCCAGGGAGACGGTGACAGCGGGAATCTGGAGTCAGTGGAGCTGCCGCCCTGCCTGGCAGCCATGGGCCCTGCCCAGCGGGCCCAGTGGCATCATCCTTGGATGGAGCCTTCCCAAAAACCTCACCGCCCATTTTTCCTGCTGTGTTGGTGCTGGGGTTGTCAGGGAGTGAGGCTTTGGCTGGCAGTGCGAGGAGGGGCTGAGGGGAGGGCAGAGCGCGGCTGGTGACCAGATGCGGGAGGCAGCGGGTGAGGTTGCCAAGCCCTGGCCTCTCTCCCAGGGCACCCCAGTGGTGCCGGTGGGAGGGAGAAGAGCCGTGCCACGGGAGTGTCGGCTGTCACCCCTCGGAAGGCAGTGGCAGCAGGCTGGGACAGGCTCCTCAGGGATCACCAGCCCGGGGAGCTGGCTCGGGTCATGGGAGCAGCCCAGACTCCAGGCGTGTGGGGGAGGCAAGACTGTGCTTGGGGACTAAATGTGCTTGATCTGGGGTCGTTGAGCAACGAGCAGGTCCTCGAGCTCCCCGGGACAGTGGGGGGCTGTGTGAGGAGTGTCTAGTGGTGCGTTTTGGGCACGATTCCCTTTCTTCCACGAATCCTCTGGGAAGTTACTGGTGTGTTCTGGCAAGCGCGGGGAACCCGGCTGTGCTGGGAGCTGCCCAAGCAGCCAGGCCTGCTCAGAGCTCCGGGCAGACAGATTATTATCTTGATTTAACATCTGACAGCTCCCATCCTGCGCTCGCCGAGAGGCCAGCGCGGGCTGCGAGCACAATCGATCAGGGGTCGGTCTCGGCATCCTCTGTCTCAGCCCAGACCATCCCGCCGTCCCCGCCTGCTCCCCTTCCTCCTTTTGCATTCCAAACCCAAACCACTCATCCCTTCATGGCGAGGATGCGCCGATGGCTCTGACCTGCGCTCCGAGAGGAGCCTGTAATGGCTCCGGGAGCGCATCCACCACAACCCAGGGAAGGAGAGCAAGGACCCGGCAGAGCAGAGGGCTGCAGGAGGGCTGGGAAGAGGAGCGAGGAGCCGGCGGCTCCCACACGTCCTCTCCCCTCCCGGCTGTGCTTCAGCCTCCCTTGGACTCTGCACAAGCAAGCCCTGACCCGAGAATGGCTGCAGTTTGTACTCTCTGCTGAAATGTATTTGAAATGCCACTCTCTAGGACCATTTCTGAAGCAATTTGCTGTTCAGCCTGGCTGGGAAGAGCCCTGGGCAGGCTCGTTCATTCAGCGCCTGCGATATTGACTCTTCTCTTTACTGCAGGATTAGAGAGCATTTGTCATCTCCAAAATGAATAACTTTTCCTCTCCTGGGAGGGGGGAGAAGGTTTGCCTCAGTACTGACATTTCACACACCCAGCCCACAAACCTGCTTTGAATCCCAGATGATGCTCTGGGAATAAAACCAGGGGCTTCAGTGTCTCTGCTCCACCAGTAGAGCAGGGCCCATCACCCCCATGAGCCTCCCCCCACCCTAAACCTACAGTCCAGGGGGACAGGAGTCTGGGGAAGCTTCCACCTGTGCCAGGTACCAAGCTCCGTTGTTGTGTTACTGACACAGAACCCGACACAAACTGCAGGGCTTTGAGAAGTCCCTCAGGGACAAGCCATGGAGGCACTTTAAAAAGAAAACTAAAATTAAAAAAAAAAAAAATCCCCCAAATCAGAGCAAATCATCCAGCAGCACCAGAATAAGAAGACAGAAGCTCAGACTTGCCAACTCATTGTCTAGAGCCCGACCAGCTCTCCCTCCTGTCCTGGAGATCACAGTGTTTAACTCACATCACCCTGTGTGCCTCTGTCTTTTGAGCTTCCAGAGGTGTTTTCAAGCCTTTCTCAGGAGGTTCAGGAACCAGCAGCGCTTTCCCATGGGAATTTCAGCCTTTGTTAGCAGAACTGCATTCTCAGGAATGAAAGCAAAGAGAAACAAACTCCAGCTGTTGCAAGATTTGGAAGAGCAGAGCCACAAGCATTGCCAGCAGCAACTTTTCCGAGGGGCTGCACCACCAAAACACAAAGCAAGGCATTGCTGTATGGCTTTGGAAACCCCCTAGATGGAGAGGGGCAGGAAATCCAGCCTGGGCGGGATACAACCTGCCTTCCCATGGGAGCAGCTGCCATGGACAAAGCACCTGCCCCTTCTCCTGGGACAGGTGAACCACAGAGCTCAGCCTCCAGGTACAGCAGAACACACAGAGCCCGACAGGAGCAGCCAGACCCACCTGAGCCGTGGAGCTGAGCAGAGCCAGGGGATGCAGGATGAGATCCTGGACATGGTGGGTGCTGGAAAAGTGTCCCCTCTCTGTAATCCTGCACCTGAGGACGGTGCTGGCCGGGAGCTCTGGGAAAGGACCTGGAGGCTTTGAAGAGCAGACTGTTCTCCAGGCTGTAATTACCCACTGGCTTCCCCCACCCCTGATTATGCAGATGAGGGCAATGGCAGAACCCACCAGGCTGTTGGGGAGGGAAGAGGCTGCACCGGTCCTGCCCCTGCAGCAGCAGGGTCCCCAGGGACCTCCTGCCACCCTGGAGGGGTCCCAGCCCTCCCTGGCTGGGTCAGCACGTGGCACTGACTGTTCTCTCTGCATGGGCAAGACCAAGGCAGAGTCTGGAGAGGGATTTGCTGGGGGTCAGGGCCGTTACAAGATTAATTATTTCGTTAGTTGGAGTCAGCTCAGCAAACAAGGATATGACGGTGGGAACACCTGGTTGCTACCAGCCCATCACCAGCCAGTCTTTTCCCAAAGGACCACACTGCACCATCTGGGAATTTCAGCCCTTTGCAGGAAACCACAATCACATTCCAGCTCTTTGGAAGGTACTTTCAGAGCTGCTTCAGGGACAGTTCTGGATCCCAACCCTCGGATGCCCTGCCTGGTGCTGGGGAGCACCTGTGGTGACAAGGCAGCCGGGACAGGCCCAGCACCCCGAGGACACACTCAGAGCTGGTGTGACCCCCCAGCCTATGCCACCACTCAGAAACTCCAACCAGGGAACATGGGAGACGATGTGGGGTCTGTACTGCAGGTGAGATGGTGCAGCCTGGCTGTGCTGGTGCAGCTCCCACAGCAGAGGCTGAAGGAGGCAGCCGGTGCCTCTTCCCGTGCCAGGAGCCTGTTGTGCCACCAGCCTCCCCAGGTACTGCAGGTGGCACAGCCAGGGCTGGGCTGTCTGTGCCCCTTGTTTGATCTTCAGATATTTTCCTCTTTTTGTTTTTTTGCACCCAGCAACAGCTGGGAAGAGGCTTTTCAGTCCTCTCTCTCTCTCTGCTTTAGCACAATGACGGGAACTGCTGCATGAAGAGCAACAGTGTTGGATTGCAGCGGGATAACACGGGTGTGCTGAGAAAGGCAAATGGAGTTTTGTGGGAGCAAAACAGCAGGCTTTGGGCAAGGCTTTGTCTGAGCTGGGGCCAGGCAGGGGTTGCAGCTTTGGGGCCAGATGAGGGCTCACACAGCCTGGTGGGAGCTCGCGATCTCAGCCGAAGGCGCCGCACCCAGCAGGAGCCGTTGCCAGCCCAGGCAGACGAGGCCCCTTTCATTCCCAGCTCCCTGCACGCCAGCAGCTGCTCAGCCTGGTGTGTGTGGGCAGGAGCGTGGCTCTGTCACATGCCTGAGACAGCACATCACAGTCAGTGGCATCCCAGGAAGCTCCCGCTGCGAGCGCCACGGAACGCGGGAAGGGACACGGGAAGGGACGCTGGCACCTGCCCCTCTCCCTTGGTGGCCTTCCCCCGGTGTCTGGGCAGCATCCTGAGCCACCAGGCACGTGTGCTGGGAGCACAGCAGTCTTATCTCACCTAAATAATGAGCTCCTCTCCAAAGCATTCACTCACTCTGGCCGAGAGCTGCTCAGCGTGGAGCAGAGGCCGTGCTGCTGGTGTCAGCCATTCGGAGCCCTGGGGATGTAACTGGGATGGCACAGGCTGCCCAGAGAAGCTGTGGCTGCCCCATCCCTGCAAGTGTCCAAGGCCAGGTTGGATGGGGCTTGGAGCAACCTGGGCTAGTGGAAGGTGTCCCTGCCCATGGCAGGGGTTGGGACTGGATAGGCATAAGGGGCCGTGCCGGTGGTGCTGGGAGCGGGTGGCACGCGGGCGTTTGGTGCCAGCCTGGTGGCCCCAGAGTTTGCAGAGCGAGCCCAGCCTGTCACATGCAAATATCTGGATAAGTTGCTGCCTGCTAACAGGAAGCACTGTATGGAAAGCAGCAAAGCCCTTCCTAAACTACCCTTGGAGTGCTCTGGGTGCCCCTGGGAGCAGCTGGAGGGTCTGCCTTGCACAGAGCAGGTTTGGGGCAGGCACTGATCTCGCCCTGCCGGGGTCCAGCAGCGTTTCCCAGCTGCTTCACCTCCACTCTGGGGCCTTGTGGTGCTTCTGGTCTGGCAGAATGAAAAGGCGATGTTGCCCCATCCTCCACTTTCCAGGAGTGGAATGCTGTGGCTCTGGCACCAGCTCTGCCCCTTCCTGTTCACCCCGTACTTCCAGCAGTGCCTCAGGGAACAGGAGCAGGAGCTCCCCACCAGGTGGCTTTGGACACCATCAGAAGGATGCAGAGGTGTGTCTGGAATTTAGCACCTGGGCAGATGCTAAAGGAGACATTAGAGCAAATTAATTACTTAAACTCTTTAATATTTTTCTGAGCCATGATTTTTGTGCCAGGCTCAGATTCCTCTGGGCCTGCCATGACTGTGAGTGCTGTGTTGGCAGGAATCGGTGCCCTCCCAAGGCCTCTGTCTGCCCAACGACCAGCAGGGAACAGTGATCCTCCCCCCCAGTTCTTGGACAACCACCTAAATCAGGTCCAGTGCAGATCCCAGTAAAATCCATGCTCTCTTCTCTCCCCAGGTCAGCACTGGACACACTCTGTGAGCCATCCCATCAGCACCCCGCGACATCCCGGTACCGACCCGATTTGGAGCAGGACAGGTTGTAACCAAGCGTAAGTGCTCCAATCCTTTGTGTTGTCAGTAAAAGCTGTTTGAGAGCAGGGATTTCCCCTGCTCAGAGGACTTTATTCCTTTGCAAAAACACCCCTTTCCTTGCTGTCCCCTGCTGGGTGACTGTGTTGGGGTGTCCACAGGGGAAGCTGCGCGTTCACAGCTGCAGCAACAAGGAGCTCTTGCTCCTTGTTGGGGCAGGAGCTCTTGCAGCTCTTTGGACCCACAGCTTCTGGAGCTGCTCGAGTAGGTGCCAGCAGGGAAGAGCCACAGAAGAGGCCTCATTATGCTCATTAAGTTCCTGCACCACAGAGCCAAAACTCCGCTGGCAGCAGAGCGGGTGATCCCACCAGCCACTGCTGGGACCTGCTGGTGCTTCCCAGAGCATGGGATGTGGGCAGACACTGCACCAAGGGCTGGGGAAGCCATAGCTGGGGTCTCTTAGCCCTTTGAGGACCCTCTAACATAATTAGAGTGAACTGCTGGAGGGACAAATCCAACTCCCCCAAGGTGCTGAGCATCCCCCAGCTCCCCTCCAGCAGTGCCAGTGACACGGGTGGGCTCAGAGGTCCCTGGGCAGGGCAGGGCCTCTCCAGCCTGCACAGACTGGACCCTCTCCCACAGCCCGTCTGCAGCTGGAGAACACACAGACTGGCAAATCATTAATGCTCCACGGCTGGTCCCCTTGGTTGTGTTTTCCCCACTGGCTTTGGAAAGGCCCTAAAAGAGCAGGGGGAATCAGAGCAGGGGCGATCCCGAGCCTTTGGGGCACGTGTCTCTCTCCGAAGCATTAGTGAGGCATTAAAGCAGCAGCAGAGCCTCCCCTGTCCCAGCCTCTCCTTGGGTTTTACTCTCAGCTTCTGACATAACCAGGTCACTCTTTCCACACTTCCCCTGTTTCGATGAGTGATCGGGATGGACGTGACTCACCGCCTTTCCTAATGAGCGACTTTCCTCTGTTTATGTGCTTTGGCGGGGCCTTTCATACACCTAAAAAAGGAGAAGGGTGGCACTGGGGAGAGGGCAGGGTGCTGTAAATTGCTGGCATCTGCTGTTCCTCATCATCCCTCTGGACTCTGGCCAGCTGTGAAGCTGCTGGGTTTGAGCATGGAAAAGGTGTAGCTCATCTTCCACGTGCTGATCCGGGTGAGATGCTGTCTGAGCCCACAGGTAAACCCTCAACGAGTAATTGGGGCTAATTAGGCTGGGAGATTTTTTGTTATTGTTCTGTCCAGGCGATGCCTGGGAGCCCAGTGGTGATGAGCACTGTGAAACCAGACCCACGTTCCCCACGGAGCTTTGCCAGGCCACAGCAGGGCGAGCTGGGGTTTCCTGTTCCCCTGCCCAGACACAGCTCAGGGACGGCTGCCCCTCTCATGTGGCCTCACTTGTGTTTTGCAGTGACTAAGCAGAGGAAGCTCTCGCTGTCCTACCACCACCACCAGGCCAGACAATCCTTCCCTTGGCTGAAGATCCCGTTGAACCTCTTCCCATAATGGAAGCGTGAGTGCCAAGATCCTCCATGACCTCCAGAAGCCACAACTCCTTACCGAGAACTCTGATGGCTCCACGAATGCTTTCCGAAGGTGCCCTGGGGGGCATCGCCCAAATCACCCCCTCGCTGTACCTGAGCCGGGGCAGCGTCGCCTCCAACCGGCACCTGCTGCTCTCCCGGGGCATCACCTGCATCATCAACGCCACCATCGAGATCCCCAACTTCAACTGGCCCCAGTTTGAATACGTCAAAGTGCCTTTGGCTGACATGCCCAACGCCCCCATCTCCCTGTACTTCGACAGCGTGGCCGACAAGATCAACAGCGTGGCGCGGAAACACGGGGCCACGCTGGTGCACTGCGCCGCCGGCGTCAGCAGGTCGGCCACGCTCTGCATCGCCTTCCTCATGAAGTACCACAAGGTCTCCCTCTTCGAGGCCTACAACTGGGTCAAGTCCCGGCGCCCCGTCATACGGCCCAACGTGGGCTTCTGGAGGCAGCTGATAGACTACGAGAGGAAGCTCTTCGGGAAGACGACGGTTAAAATGGTACAGACGCCCTACGGCATCATCCCAGACGTTTATGAGAGAGAGAGGAGACCCCTGATGCCTTACTGGGGAATTTAATGGGACTGCAGACAGGAAGCACAACAGAAGGGACGCGCTATTCTGAGACAACCAGACTGGAGACATTCCCTTCTTCTTCTACAGCCAACTTTGATTCTTTACCATACAGCAGAACCTCAATTCTCACCTCACTAAACCTGCAAGGCCAACGATTCCCTTCAAAGCATTTCTCTCTATGGGGATTTCCCATCTGCATCTCTCTCATTTAGCAGAACCAGGTCTCCTTATGAGTTTATTCCTTCCATAAAGCCTCCCTCCTTTTTTAGTCAGTTTATTAGGGTCCTCCAAGGAAAGGCCTAAGAGGCATTTGGCAGAGTTGATGAGCCAAGTGCGCTTTGTGACGCGGTAGTAGCCTGGATATTTTGTTATAGCTTGTTTGCTTCCCTGCAAAACCCTGTAGTGGCTCGGGAGCAGCACTAGCACAGAGTGAACAAGGCCCTGCTCCACGGCAGCGGGTTTTCCAAGCACCAGGAAGGCTGGAATACAGGGCTGTGGTGCTAGTGCTGGTGTTTTCTTTAACATCCATAGTGACTCTCAGTATATAGTGTTTGAGATCTTTAGTCAGCTCTTAATCGTATTCAAAGTTAGAAAAAAAAAAAAAGAAAAAAAAAGTGAATCAGTCCGTGTCAGCCACAAGGAAAATAAAATTTGAACGATTCAAATCAAATAAATACAAGATCCTTTTTAACTCATTCCACACCAGGGCAATAGTCCTGGAATACACTTCAACTACTGGAAAATGCTGGTGTGTTTTGCGGGTGGAAAGTCGACAGATCCTGTCCAGATGTGGCTCAAGACAGAAGCAAGAGGGTTGAACCCGCTGGACAACCAAAGAGACGTTCAGGAATCCGTGCACGGCCCCCTGCCCGAGGGGCTGGGCCGTGTCTGTGAACATTCCAGCAACCACTCTGTTGGAAGTCAGTAAATCCGCTTGATTCTTCATCTCCGAGCCCGGTCATGATCTGCCTTAGTCCATTTCCGAATCACTCCATTCCGTCCTCAAGGTTATGCTGCATTCTGGGATTATTCCGCGCCAACGGATCTGTCCACCCTCCCGGCCAGGCACAAAGGCTCTGCCCTGTGCTGTGTGTGCCGGGAGTGATTCCAACCCCAGCCTTTCCGTGCGAGAAGCCTTCCTGCGGCTCCCGCCCATCGCTCCCCTCCCGGCAGGGACGGGACTGGTTTCCCTGGAGCGTCACCGGAACCCAGGAGAGCCCCATTCCTGAGGAGACACTGGTGTCCTCTGCCCCGGGAGGAGGAGCAGGCAGATTGCTGGATGCCGCGATCGCTGATTTAAGTGAGATTCTATACTTGTAAAAAAAAAAATAAAAATCAATAAAGATCAAACCAGAACATGTGTTGGTTTCCTGTTCCAAGCGGCGCTAATGGAGCTCCGGGAGCAGCGGGAACACGGGGTGAGGTGGAGCAGCGGCTTTGGGCAAATCTGGACCCAAGCCTTGAGGAAAACACTGCGAGCTGTTCCCAGCACTCGGCTCCCCACCTCACAGTCCATCCTGCCATTCCTGCTCCTCCTCCCAGCAGCCGGGCAGTCCCTGGGGCTGGTGCACTCTTTGCACCTCCCCGAGTCCTGGTGGTCAGCCGAGGTTCTGAGGAGCAGCAGGCGTGGCTGAAGGGCTCTCCCAGCTGGACTGTGCTGTGTCAGGGTGCCACGACCGGGTCCTTGGTTTCCCCAGACTGAAAGTCATCAGGGCTGAAATAAATACTGATAAAGCCAACACAAAACCGTTCAAATGGCCTCAACCTCCCTGGGCTCAGGAGTAAAACCAGAGCTGGCTGCAACAGAAGTCTAGGTCAGAGTGAATTTGCCACAGAGGCTTCAACCTCTATCTCTGACCCAGAATCCTCCCATTTACTGGAGACCCCGGAGCAAACGGCACTGGCTGAGACTCACCCAGGGAAGGACGGGGAGCTCTGTGGTTCCCAGACTCCAGGAGGTCCACTGAGAATGGGGGAAGTTCACAAACTCCAAGTGAGGCCAGAGGGCCCTCGCTGGGGGGTGGTGGCAGGACAGAGCTCTCAGCCCCTGTGGGAGTCACTCCAGCTGTGTTAACCCCATGGAGATGTCCCTGGGAAAGGTCACTGCTCGTTCCTCACCCTTCCACGGGCATCCAAAGCCACTGTTCCCTGAATGCAGGGATGTGTTGCCCCCACTCCCTTGCAAACCCACCTTTGATCCTTTATCCTGGATGCACATAGTCAAAGCAGCCAGAAAACCCCCCAACAGTCACAACACTGGTTTTTCCAACAATATCCACACAGGGATCTTGGTGTCTTTCACCACCACGAGGACAGGAGAATTTTCCTTCTGCTTTTCCCAGATCAGTTTTGTCCCACTGAAATAAAGGTGAGGTTTGCCATCAGCTGCTCCCAGTTCAGGTTCCATGGCTGTGTCCCAGTTCCAGTGACAGACACAGGAGACTGATGTCCACTTAAAAAAATGAATTTTACTCATCTCCCTATTTTAATCATGAATTAAACTCCAGCCAGGGAAATGGTAAGAAAGGATCTAGAGAGTAAAAATCAAAATTAATTGTTAATTTGGAGACATTCCAATACATGACATTTTAAGGGGGAAAAAAATAACTAAAAACTCAAATCTGCTCACAAAATCAAACCTTACCCAAAAAGTGGTCAGTGTGTAATTTAACAGTATTTTTTATGTAAAAACTGAAGGTAAAAATTCTCCGCTGTGAATTATTCCATAATTCCACTGCGTGAGTACTGAGGGGAGGCAAAATGCTGATGTTCAGCCAAGAAGACACCAAAGGCTGATTTTTTAAACACAAGGGAAACTTAGACCTCTAAAAAAAGGAAATTGCCTAATAAAGCACATCAGGAAACAAAGAATTCACCTGAAATCCCCATTCAAGGTTATATTACAGTGTTAATGCTTGTGGGTATTTCTTTGCAAAAGCTCCTCTTGTGTTCACTCCAACAAAAGAGATTTTGTATGAGTGTTTTCCCCCTCAAAATCCAGTTTTTCCATCCTTAAATCTATAGAAACCAAAGAGAGACAGTCACAGCTCAGCTTGGATTGCTGCGAGCACACCCACTGGATTTGAGGGGAACATCCCTCTTCCTGCTCCCCAGGGGCTCTTCCAAATGGTGTCTTAATTGCTTGAAAAATATTTTATATTTTTCAGTATTTGGTGAGGCACTTTCCACATCCCAGCCACAAAGCAGGTTTCACTTACATTATGATATAAATATTTCAGCTTCCCAGGCTGGTCAGATACAAAACGAGCTCTTTATTGAACACAAGGTTTGAATCTCAACACAGGATTTATAAATCATTGCAGGAATCAAGGGAGTAAACAAGGTACTAAAGTCAATTAATAACACTTATTCTCATGGGATTTAAAATACCAGCAGTGACTCCAGCATAGAACAAACCCAAACAGCTCCAACTAATAATCACAAAACCACTTCTGGAAGAGAAATAATGTTTGCCCAGAGGGCAGGAGAAGAATTACAATATAAAGTGAAGTTTTCTGATCACTTCACAGAATTACGACATTCATATTTTAACGCTGAGAACTGGAATTAAATACAGGTCCAAAATTAAAAATAAACCCGAAGCAGCAGTTTGTACAACAGCAGCTTTTATTGGAAAGGCAGGTTTTGCTTCAAGTTTAATTAATTCCCAATGTAGCTGAGGAACTCGGAGCATTCCGAGGGTTTCCATGAGCTCCTGCTCCACCTGAGCCTGAACTTCACTCACTCACAAACCCTGCACGGACTTCAGGGAAGGAGCTGCTGAGACCAAACCCAGTAAAGAAAAGCTGCTGCCAGGGAGGAAAAGACATTGGAATGGTCAGTGCATGAGGTGACAATTCCCAGGCCACAGGTGACCTCTGAGGTGGGCAGGTACCCAGGAATTCACACCCAGGCACGGGGATGGAGGGGCAGGGAAGGGGCTGGAGCAGCCCCCAGCACTCCCAGCACCAGGGAAAAGCTGCCACCACGGTCACAGCGTGGAAGCACCAGGGATACAATGGGGAAAAGCCATAAATACGTTAAATAACCAGGCTAATAGTCCCTTAGAACTCCAAATATACAGAAAGAGACAGAAAACCCACTTTCCACAGGTATCCACTTTCCAAGGCAGCTCCAGAAAACACGGACGTTAAAAAACCAAAGAAAAATCCCATTTCTCTTTTCCAGAGACAGAATCCATGCAGGAAAAGGAGTCACAGGTCTGAAATTGCACAGAGCCAAAGCAAAGGCAGCGTGTCCAGGTGCCCCTGCACAGGAGGGGTGGGGGAAGGTGGGCTGGGACAATCCTGTCACCTTGGATACAGCTTGGAAGGACCCTGGGCTTTGCCTGGCAGCAACATCTGAGAGGATGCCGAGTGCTCCAGTGAGTCACTGGGATGACTGGGATCAGGGAGCTGATCCTTGCTCTGCAGTGCCTTTATGGGGGGGATCTCCATGCAAACATTCCATGTGTTCCCACGACAGGAAGGTGCTGGGAACAGAACACTTCCTGCTTCCACAGAGGCAGGGACGGTGCCTGTGCTGTCCCTCCCGTGGGAGCAGGAGAGCAGCAGTGTCATCCCTCAGTGAGCTCTGCTGCAGTTGGAATTGCAAACACCCATTCCTTATTTTTATGGGCCAAAAGACACGACGGACAGGGGAGGGGACTGACCTGGTAACAAGCACAGGAAAACCACCACTGAGAAATGCTTCTGTGACAACACAGCTGGTGATTTAAGTTTCCCACTGTGGCCTCTTATTTGTGGCATCCTCTTTTAATTAGGGGGGAAAAGAAAATCCCATCTAGCCAAGGGAAAGGATGTGGGCAGTCCCTGTCACACGGTGGAAAATCTGCTGCTGGATTAGCCAGAGTTTGCGACTGGAGGCACACGTTGCTTTATTTTGTGAATGAGTTAATTTGAGGCTGCAAGATTTACTGTAATTGGTGTAAATGAGGAGCCAGACACCTCCGAGCCAAGATTCTTTCATTTGGGCTAATTAATAGTTTAGTATAACTAAGCTTGTTTGTTTTTTAAATACAAAGCATCGTTTTCCTCACTGTGATCTCTGTTTCGGCAAATAACCACAGGCCAGTGTCAGGTACTTATAATGGAGGCAAGATTAACTTGGAAAAGCTGTTGATATCTCTGGGGAGAAGGGAGAGATCTGAGGAATTTAAGTCAAAGAATTAAGGAGAAAAGTTGTACCCGATGGATTTACACCCCACTGCATTCCCTGCAGACCCAGACTGGATAGTGGTAAGTCTCTCATAATGCAATGAAGCTCCCACTTGGTTTGAAATCCTGTAATAGCACTGCACTGTCCCCTGGATATTGGATCTGAAGGAAGAATCAGGTACTTTAGATGTTACAGGTAATATTTTGTGACAAAATAATACAAACCTCCTATTCAGAGAGGTGAGTACCTGCCATAAACCACAAACCAGCAGGGAGACAACGCCCTGCCCCAAACACCAGCTTGCTAAGACCCCCAGCTTCCAGTGTTAAATCCCTTTGGGTGTTAAATCCCACTCCCTGTCACAGGAGCCAAGGGCCACCTCGTGCTGCCAGCTCTGAGTCACAGAAACACGTTACTACAGGTAGCACCAGACTGCACGAGCCACACACAGGCATCCCATCAGGAAAAGCATCTCAGCATCCAAAAAAGGGAAGGTATCTACACAGGAGCAGATGTGCTGCATCAGCAGGGTCCAGTTTTCACCAGAGCTGCAGCCACACAGCTACCAAAGGGTCAGGAGAAACATAAATCACACCTGGAGTTCAGGACAACTCCAGGGAAGTTTATCTGTATTTACAACAAAGCTGCAAGTTTTAAACTCCAGCTGCCTGTACTACAGAATCCAGATATTACAGGGAAAATTTCAACAGTTTTCCAGTCCTTACCCCCCAGCACCAACCAGTTCTGCACACAGAACAACTCCCAGCACAGAGCACTGGAGGTGTAAATCCACAGCAGCCCTCCAGTCTCATTCCTTTGAGTCCATAATTCATTTTGCCTCGATGCTGTGACTCATGTGCTCTGATATCACAGCAGAAAATATCTGAAGAGCAACATCATGGTCCATACCCAAACACATTAAAGAGAAGATCTGCTTACAAATACAGACTCCAGGTACTTAATGGTCACTTCTATGCAAATCAGTCCAGTATTCCAGGTTCTTTGGGAGGCTCAGTGCTGGCTTCTCCCAGGTTTATGGTGGCTACCAGGCTGCTTTTACACAGAATAACATGTTTTCATGTTGAGAAAGTCTGAAATGCCACATTTTTTTTTTTGCCATACATTTTTTTCTGGTTAT